TCAATGCCTCTCCTCCCTATACTCAGTCTTTTCTCTTACTTTCACTCTCTATAAACCCCCGTTCATCTTTTATCCTTTCCTCAATGCCTCTCCTTTTCTATACCCAGTCTTTTCTCTTACTTTCACTCTCTGTAAACCCCCCTTCATCTTTTATCTTTTTCCTCAATGCCTCTCCTTTCCCTATACCCAGTCTTTTCTCTTACTTTCACTGTCTGTAAACCCCGTTCATCTTTTATCCTTTTCTCAATGCCTCTCCTCCCTATACCCAGTCTTTTCTCTTACTTTCACTCTCTGTAAACCCCGTTCATCTTTTATCCTTTCCTCAATGCCTCTCCTCCCTATACCCAGTCTTTTCTCTTACTTTCACTCTCCGTAAACCCCGTTCATCTTTTATCCTTTCCTCAATGACTCTCTTCTTTATACCCAGACTTTTCTCTTATTTTCACTCTCTGTAAACCCCGTTCATCTTTTATCCTTTCCTCAATGCCTCTCCTCCCTACACCCAGTCTTTTCTCTTACTTTCACTCTCTGTAAACCCCGTTCATCTTTTATCTTTCCTCCTCAATGCCTCTCCTCCCTATACCCAGTCTTTTCTCTTATTTTCAGTCTCTGTAAACCCCGTTCATCTTTTATCCTTCCTCAATGCCTCTCCTCCCTATATCCAGTCTTTTCTCTTATTTTTCACTCTCTGTAAACCCTGTTCATCTTTTATCCTTTCCTCAATGCCTCTCCTCCCCTATACCCAATCTTTTCTCTTATTTTCACTCTCTGTAAACCCTGTTCATATTTTATCCTTTCCTCAATGCCTCCCTCCCCTATACCCAGTCTTTTCTCTTACTTTCACTCTCTGTAAACCCCGTTCATCTTTTTATCCTTTCCTCAATGCCTCTCCCCCTATACCCAGTCTTTTCTCTTATTTTCACTCTCTGTAAAACCCTGTTCATCTTTTATCCTTTTCCTCAATGCCTCTCCTCCCTATACCCAATCTTTTCTCTTATTTTCACTCTCTGTAAACCCCGTTCATATTTTATCTTTTCCTCAATGCCTCTCCTCCCTATACCCAGTCTTTTCTCTTACTTTAACTCTCTGTAAACCCCGTTCATCTTTTATCCTTTCCTCAATGCCTCTCCTCCCTATACCCAGTCTTTTCTCTTATTTTCACTCTCTGTAAACCCCGTTCATCTTTTATCCTTTCCTCAATGCCTCTCCTCCCTATACCCAATCTTTTCTCTTATTTTCACTCTCTAAAACCCCGTTCATATTTTTATCTTTTCCTCAATCCCCTCCTCCCTATACCCAGTCTTTTCTGTTACTTTCACTCTCTGTAAACCCCGTTCATCTTTTTATCCTTTTCTCAATGCCTCTCCTCCCTATACTCAGTCTTTTTTTCTCTTACTTTCACTCTCTGTAAACCCCTGTTAATCTTTTATCCTTTCCTCAATGCCTCTCCTCCCTATACCCAGTCTTTTTCTCTTACTTTCACTCTCTGTAAACCCCGTTCATCTTTTATCTTTTCCTCAATGCCTCTCCTCCCTATACCCAGTCTTTTCTCTTATTTTCACTCTCTGTAAACCCCGTTCATCTTTTATCCTTTCCTCAACCCTCTCCCCGCTATACCCAGTCTTTTCTCTTACTTTCATTCTCTGTAAACCCCGTTCATCTTTTATCCTTTCCTCAACGAGGTCCTCCCTATACCCAGTCTTTTCTCTTATTTTCACTCTCTGTAAACCCCGTTCATCTTTGCTGTTGATTCTACCATGCAGGGCAACTATTGGACTGAGACATTTCCATGATATGGCAGCCTAAACTATCACTGATCAACCTCCATGCTTCACTGTTGGAAGAAGGCAGTCAGGGTTGTGAGCTTCTTTGGGCTGCCTCCACATATAAACTCGCCCTGAAGTTGGGAAAAGAGAAAAACTGGACTTGTTTGAGAATATGACTTGCTTCCATTGGTCTGCAGACCAGGCAGTGTGATCTCTGCACCACTTCAACCTCTTTTGAATGTTGCGAGTGGAGAGAAGACGTTTCCTCACAGCGTCTCTTCCATGATATGCAGCCTTATGGAGCTCACGGCTCACGGTGAACAGTTTTAGTAGAAACTCAAACGTTCAGATGGTTATTCAACTCAGTAGTCACTTTGGCCGCATTTGTCCGATGATTTTTTGCCACATTGCGTTTCAGTGCAGGTCGGTCCCTGTCAGTAAGTTTGCAAGTCCGGCCCGAATTGCTACGGTTGCTAGGGGTCTTGCCCTGTTTCATGAATTGCATCAGTGTTCTTGATATGGTAGCTCTTGAAAAACCAAACAGTTCAGCAACCTTAGTGATTGAGATTCCTGCCATGCGAGCTCAAACAATTTGCTCTTTTTCGAACATGGAGAGGTCATGCATTTAGCTTAAATTTTACTAAATTCTAAAAATAAATAAGACAAAAAGAGTAAATTAGATAAATAAACGTATTTACAATAGATATAAACTGCAATTACGAAGTTTTAGTTAAAGTTCTTAATATAATAGGTCTTTGAAATATACAAGTGGATTTTGCAACTGTTCCAATTATTTTGTCCAACCCCTGTATATATATATATATATATACATACACACACACGAGAGTTTAAGTAGTTGTTATTTTTTTGCGCTTTCGTTAAGCAAGTTAGCTTGCATTTTCTGGCTTGGGTGCCATTGGAGCCAACGGTGTGTTTTCGACTCAAACACCGTTATTTGGCATTCGGGGGTGAGGGCTAAAGGACTTTTAAATAGTTGGGTCAACTGACCCCCTACTGAAGGAATTTAGTTTTTTTTTTTACTTTATTTTCTTGTTTAGCAAGAAAGTTGGCCTTAATTGGCTTTCGAACCCATGAAGCCAACCGGTTCAATGATAATCTAATTTAATATGATCCCCCACTACGGAAAATCAAACCTGTTTGTTTTGGTTTTCCATAACACTAAAGGTCTGCAGTATATCATTCACAATTTTTTCGAGGTATTGCCAGTTTAGTTTTGGTTTTGTTTAGTTGATTAACTTTAAGACCGGCTACCAGGTTAGTAAGTGTATGTAGGTTAAGGAGAATGTAATATAATACGGCAATTAGTGTCGAGTGAAGTCTTTTTTTGTGACATTAAATAGCAAGCAATTTATCATAATATCGACGCATATGCAGGAAAGACAAAAACCGGAAAGTGGGCGCAAATGGCGTCGCCGACCTCATACCTATATATACTATGCAAGAGAGTCTCTGATTGGCTAATGCAAATCCCAATACCATTAAGACCGACCTCCTAATTTAGAGAGTGATTTTCCGAAAGTATTTTGGTTTTTGGGTTCATCTCCTCCCCGCTCATTGTATATCATCAACCGATTTTTATAGATAGAATTTTATGTTCATTAAATTTTTATGTCATGCGGGTTTTTTGTAGGTTCCCTGAGTGTATGCGATATTATAGTATATGGAGGATTGAATGATGATAGATGAGTAGATGTGCAAATTGTAATGAGTGAATGGATTAGCTAGGTATAAGATTTAAGTGACGACCAACCTCAGCCCATCCACCACCATTTTCGGCTTTGTACTAAAATTGTATTTTATACAGTGTAACCCGGATATAAGAGACCCGGATATAAGAGAGATTTTCTCTGGTCCCAAAGTGTTCCCATACTTACCTAAACAAAATGGACCAAACCCGTATATAAGAGAAACCCGGATATAAACGACTTCTTCTCCGGTCCCGACAACTCTCTGATATCCGGGTTACACTGTACAATAAATCTAGTACATTTAGATCAGCCGAACGCTTTCCCGTTAGTTTATTTCAAGTTATATTGTTCAAAAGTAAGTGTTACATTTTTGTCTTCGTTACTGGAATCCTTTTTTTGTTGTTGAATTGTTTTGATTGTGTGCGGTGACGTGAGAACGCCATCTTTATAGCGGAATCCTAACCTACTAATTCAACACCAACTGAAGCGACCTCTTTGGCGTGGAGGGAAGATAGACCCTTCCCCTCCAAAAAAATAGAACTCACAATAAATAACCGACCTTGTGTTACATGCTGCCCCAGTGAAAGGGGGGGGGGAGAACTGAATATCTTCAGTAGTTCAAGTCGAGTCAAGAGTCGAGTCAGAGGCAGTCCGAAACAGACTCTCGTTCAGACGATTACTACAAGATATTGGAATAGTGATACTGGTCGAGACTATATTGTTCTCTCTACTAAATCTGATTGGTCATACTAACACTTCTACTTCTCTGTATATATTCCTGGTTGTAATATATCTGTGTTATTCCATACCTGTGTTCGAGTTCTTCTTTATTGGTTCTACCTTGGACTATCACCGTGGTACAAGGAACCGGACCATAACAGATACAAATTGACACAAGTATGGAACCTGTCCTTATATTTTGTGATGTCAACGAACACTCGTTGTCACTTTCGTAAATGCTTGATGTAGTAGAGACTTTGTAATCGCAGATACAACTATAGAACGCCGTTGAACAATACTGGTGTCAGACACCTTCGAATATCACTCGCACTAATAGTACTTGCTCGATAATACTCACTCGAATAGTAACCACCTTATAGTGAACCGAATAGAGAAACAGTATCGTGAATAGAGTAGAGAATAGCGGTCCGTAGAGTAATAGAGGATAGACTAGAAATAGCGATTGGAATAGTAATAGAGGATAGACTAGAAATAGCGATCCGAATAGTAATAGAGGATAGACTAGAAATAGCGATCCGAATAGAGGATAGACTAGGGATAACGGTCATTTAGACGTCACGCGACTTCCTACTTATGTGTTTCTTTTATGGTCACGTGGTCTACTTAATTCAATAATGGGATCGCCTGTGTTTGCTCACTGGCAATCTATGCTCAAATTCAAGTGTCGGCAGCGATACCTTACTGCTATATAGCACTATACTTGTTCCTAGATGAGTTCTTTAATGAGAAATAAAAAAAAAATGTTGATGTGTTCCTTATTGATTTATCGATTTGTGATTTTCAGAAACTGGATTTAACTGATGACAAGTATACCTTTCTTGCTGACGAAGAATGGATCGATGCGTTTGGTCTGCATCAAGCAATCGAAATGATCCGTGCAAAAGGTGAGCCTCTCTTACTGCTGTTCTCCCTTTTGAGAGTTAACGGTATTTGATTTTTGACAATATATATCAATTGATGTCTGCTCGGTGGCCGAGATAATTGCGTATTTGCCATGTGCTCTCGTTGTCGGTGTTCAAGCCTAGAATTCGGCAAGTTCTCGCTACTTGGAAGATCGATGCAATTTTTGCAGCTTTTCTGTCGATTCCCACCAAAATAAAAAGAATTTATATTTACTAAAATTCACACCAAATTCCCCCAGAGCCAGGCTCTTCCCATGGCACTCCGATTGGGTTGACCTTTGCGATCACCCTAAATGTGGGCAACTCGTGTGCGCTATTTCTTTTCTCACGAGGCCCAGTGCTCCGATTACTATTGATACAGTCTCAGTTTTCATTCCCCACATCCTGTTAATCTCGATCTCCAGGTCCTTGTATTTGGACAATTTCTCAATAATTTTCATGGAGGTGTTTCTCTCAGATGGTACTGCTATGTCAATAAACATACACTTCCAGAATTTCTTGTCTTTTATGATAATATCAGGTCTGTTGGCTTTTATTTCCCTGTCGGTTTGAATTGGCATGTCCCAGAGGATAGTTATATCGTTATTTTGGGCAAATGTGTCTGGTTGGTGTTCATATCATCTCTCAGTGGTTTCGATTTTGTACTTCTTGCATATCTTCCAGTGCATATATGTCACTACCTTGTATGTATGTGGCTATATTCATTTTTTGCGAGTTCCGGACCTGCTGAGATAATATGGCCGACAGTTTCATCAGATTTTCCTAAGATCCTGCATTTCGGGTTCGTCCAATTATTATTATTATTATTATTATTATTATTATTATTATTTCCTTTGATTTCTGGTGTGTACACATTTCTTTCCGGTCCCGCCCAGAGACCTAAGGTTAGAAATGGTATCATGTTACTTTTCATTGACAAAAAGAAAAAAAAAAGAAAATATTTTACATGGATAAAGCCCTTCGTAAGGTGTGGGTTGTACTCGTGAGAACAATTTTTTTGTATTTCTTTAAGGCATGGACTTCCAGGAATCCCTTCAATCAGTCCATTGGAATCTTTTCTAACCAATCCGAGGTCTCCAACTACAACAGCGATTGTTGATGTTCCCATGTGCCACATTTTTGAGATTTCTATTTCAAGGTCCTTGTATTTTGACAGCTTTTTGAATATCTTCAAAGATACATTGCAGTCTGCAGGGACTGCCATATCAATAAGGAGGCATTTTTTTTTGTTTGAGGTCTCTAATAACATTCTCTGGGCGGTTGGCTTTGATTGTTCTGTCAGTGTGTATTGTGTAGTTCCATAAAGTTTTAACAGGTCCTATCTCAGTAACTGGGTCTGGGTGGTGTTCATACCAATTATTATTATTGTTGTTATTATTATTATTATTATTATTAAATATGACTGACGTAATACTGACTCTTGTAATACTGTTCAATAGTTAAGAGATGTGTGCGATTTAAGAAAAGTAAAAGAAAAGCACAGTGTTTGACAATGTTCAATAGAATAAAATGGAAAAAATCTCATCAATAATTCGCTACCAAAGGGCTGCGTTATGGCCGCGCTGCGATTTTGAAAGCTTCAAGTCGTTTTTCTTAATTGGTTAATTTTCGTCTCCCGGCTTGAATATTCGAGCAATCTTATTAAAGAAAAATATGGACACCCCGGACGAATTATTCAGGCTGGTAGACGAAAATAAATATACTTGTTAATTTCACTCAACTCGTTTTCTGTTACCATAGCAGGATATGACAACACAACTATGAATTTCAAACACTAGCGTCTACTCAAATATGGGAACCCACTAAAAAAAAAATAATGTTAAAAGTAATAAAAAGATGTCGGATTACTAGATAAAGATCTATCTTTAGACATTTACTTATGCTTATATATATATATATATATATATATATATATGTCAGTTACACTATTTACATTGCACGAATTGTTGTCCCCATCTTTGTCGCTGTATTCACAACGTTTCGTGAATACGGTAACTTGGAGAGTTGCGTTAAAGGGAGATAACTGATACTGCGACACCCGAAAGAGGCATGGCACGTGGAACTAGAACAACCTACCCCGGTGGTCGAAATAAAAGATTCAATATAGAATTCCACTCATCTGAAACCGGAGCGCACAACGGCCGAAACGTCGTAAATATGACAATAACGATGGGGACAACAGTATAGCGCGGTCAGTTGGGAACCGTATGTGATAAAAAGAACACCATGACGAAGTTAACCCCGCCAGAAATTTGGAAATAGCATGCTTTACTCCTTGGCATTCGCGCCGGAAGCTCCAGTACGAATATATCAGAACGTTTGGGTGTCAATTTGAGGACAGTGCAGGAAAGAGTTGGGTGAGTCTAATGGTGATTACGAAGGTACAACAGCTCGGAAAACTTACTCTGATTGTTCTGATAAGAAAAGAACTCCCGAATTTGTTGGTGGAGCCTCAGATTCAACACTGAGGTCTACATAAAATGCCTTGAGGAGGTAGTGGTGCCTTGGGTCAAGAGGGTGGCTGCTGGAAGTCTCTATGTCTGGCAACAGACCTCTGCACCATGACACACAAACAGGAGAACCCAGTCCTGGCCGTGAGTCAATTTCTGCGACCATATCACCCCTTACATCTGGCCACCTAACTCCTCAGACTGAAAACCTCTTGATTATGTAGGGGGGGCGTTGACCAAGGGAGAGAGAGAGAGAGAGAGGGGAGAGAGAGGGGGGAGAGAGAGAGAGAGAGAGACCCCCAAAAACTCCTTGTAAGATTAAATGTAGGCAAAGATTATGACAGCATTCACCAACTTAAACAAGGAGACCTTCCAGACGTGATGAAAGCGATTCCGAAGTTTTGACCGTGGTTGAAGAAAATGGCGATTTTATTGAATAAATTTACTCTTTAGTATTTCAAGATATTTTTGTGTAATTTTGGTAAATATATCTGTTTTAACAGATATATTTACCAAAAATGAGTTGTCAGTGTTATATTAACAAAAAAATGAGTTGTCACTGTTATTTTTATTTTTTTATTTTTATTTTTTTTTTGCTTCATTTAGACGACAATTTATCCATCTCACCATGTATGTCTGTTAAAATGAGATGTCATTATTATTTTCATTTTTGCTTCATTTAGACGACAATTTATCCATCACACCATTTATATTTAGTTTCATGTAAATACTGTGATATTAACAAAATCTATAAGTAATTTTCAGTAGGGAGTCCTTCTACCCAACCCACGTAAAGGGTATTCCAATAACTTGGACCGATTTTAAATGTGAAGTAAGTCTATTTTTTTTCTTTTTCTTTCAGAAAACTTGAGTCTTTGGCAATTTCAACCATGATTAACAATCAAACAACGTGTTAAAATTATCGAAGCCCATTTACAAAAATGAACGTTCAAACAGAAATCCATTTCACACACTTCGCAATTTTTTTGGTCAACTTAATCGACCAACCAAGAGTGCAATTGGAAACGATGTAACGTTGTTGTGAAGAGGTTTAATTCCTGCGCGTGATGACGAATAGAGGGGTCTGGATTTCGGCCATATTCTCGTGCACTGCAGCAATGTTTTCAGCTGAACGGCGTGAACGAGCACGCAATGGTGTTTTCACATCTGCCACCGACCAAGTTTGTTTAAATTTACAAACAATTTTCCAATTGCACTCTTGAAACTTTAACACGCTGTTTGATTATTAATCTTTCCATGGTTGAAATTGCTAACGACTTAATTTGTTAAATCTGAAAGAAAAAGAAAGAAAAAAAATCATTAGACACTTAATTCACATTTAAAATCGATCAAAGTTATTAGAACACTCTTTATAAATGTTATATTCTGTAACATATTTGTCAGCTGTATTATTAACCTATAACCTTCTGCATTATTAATATTATTTTTTTACATTCTTTTTCAATGCCTCTGAAGTGTAGTTTACTTATTGTTAACATAGCAGGATATGACAACACAACTATGAATTTCAAACACTACTGTTCAGCGATCAGAGTCACCTTCAGTGGCAGAATAAACTTTTTGTACAGAAAATTAAGTCATATACAGAGTAATAAAGATTAATATTGTTGTTGCTATGACTAATAATAAATGTCTTTCATATAAGTAATACTATGGCCATAACATGAAAATACCACCATTATTTTTTTCCGATTATATTTTCCAGATGAAAAATATCCGCCATTAACGCTGGAAACGTCACGTTGCTTCGTAGGTTTACTTGATGTATCCTTTATTTGCAATTATCTGCTATTGAAACATCTATGGATTTTGTCTTTGTTGTGGAAAGTAATTTTGAAGGCATCGGGTTGAGCTATACGAAATAAGGAACAAAGAGAGATGTCTAACGATGGAGGGTGAATAAAAAGGCGATGATTTCTCGAAGTGGAAAACAAACTTAACGCCATCCTCGCCTTTGGGGAAGAACGTTTCATTTTCAGACGATTTTTTTTATTTGTTTTTCATATAGTAACTAAGAAACTGAGGTACCTTGAAGTACCCGAGCGGTGGCTAACACCTCTACCAGACGTATGAGTTGACAACTGGATTCGTTTCAAACTCAGAAGGGCATAAAAAGAATCAAGATCGACGTATAAAGACGTCTGTAGCTGGTTTTTCAACGGTATGTGTTAGACGTGTTTATTCGTCACTGTCTGAAAAGAGCACTTTCAGTTATATCGTATATACACGTCTTCGCTGAGAAAGGGTTTAATGCCAAAATAGGAAAAAAATTGTGCGTTTTGATAAAGCAATTTCATAAAACAGTTTTTGTTATAGAAATATATTGATTGATTTATCATTACACGCACCCAAGCTTTTCCTACTTGTTAAAAGTTAGTCCTTTCTTCTTGCCCTCCTTTACTACCTTATTTAAAAGTCCTTACACTTTCCATTCTAAGTTTTCCATCAACACAGTGTTATCATATGTTGACATCACACTTACTGATTCTGCAACTCTCTTCCGGCTTCTTGGTTTCCAGTCAAATCTGACCTCCAAAAATTTTCATTCTATGTCAAAGGTTATCTTCTGTCTTCTTAATTCCTGTTCTTTTATTATTGTCTTTCGTTAGTAATGTTTTTTTCTCATATTCTTTCATACTCGGCATACACTTGCGTCTTAGTGACTTTATTGCCTTGCTTTGGGAGAAAGGATTAAATATATAGTGATTTTCCAAGCGTAGCTCAGATGTGGCGCAAGGTCGAACAAAAACCACCCAGTGAGGATCGAACTCACTTAGTTATAATGTCTCTACCGAGACAAGCTTGCTAACCATTACACCGCCTTGAGGTGCCCAAAGGATTATATACATATAAGGGCATAAAAAGAATCAAGATCGACGTATAAACACGTCTGTAGCTGGTTTTTGAACGTTGTGTGTTGGACGTGTTTATTTGTTCGTGTGTAAGAAACTGAAGCACCTTGAATATCCGCTACTCACGCTCACGTTGCTTCATAGGCTTACTTGATGTATTCTTTATTTGCAATTACCTGCTATTGAAATAGCCATGGATTTTGCTGTTGTTGCAGTTGAAATTTTGAAGTCATTGGGTTGAGCCAAATATGAAAGGGAAGACAGGTGCCTGTGGGGTGGGGGACGAGTAAAAAAAAGTGATGATTTCTCAAAGTGGTAAACAACCTTAACCCCTTCCCTGTCAGTAAAATATGCATTCTCTGGCAGGACTCATATATTTCTGACAAGATTTTTCGAATATTCAGGACAGTAGATGAAGTTGGATAATAAATAATGTTTCATTAAAAAACAGGGCTTCTACTCGAATACGAGTATCCATCAAAAATAACGTTTAAACAAAATAAATTAAAAATATGTCGGATTTAATCCATTTCTGAAAATTAAATTTATATATATATATATATATATATATATATATAAAAGGCAGGATGTGTGTGTGTGTGTAACGAATGCGCGGTAGCAATTTTCGACGGATTTGCACCAAAATTTCCATGCACATGCTCCAAGTTAGCGGGAAGACCAAGACCGACTTTGCATTTCCCAACTCCCATCGATAGTGGAAATAATCGATTTTTTTCATGCTTCTACGGCAGTTTTCATGTAGTTTGCGGCCATTTTCTACTGGCCAGGTACAGGCCAATAGTTGTGAGAGCAGACAACAGCGTGACCAACACGAATGTTAACTAGCATGCTAGCATGCAAAAAAAAAAATCGATAGCTGCATTCGTCACAAGTGGGAAAAATTTAAATCTGCATCGCACTTTACTCCAATTGGCTCATTCGCTTGCTTAAACTCAACGTTGATTCTGATTCCGCAGAACTGGGTTGGGTGTGAAAAGTATTTGTTGTTAACATTCTTTTTCATTCGGTTTTTCCAGTTACGAGTCCTTTTTTAAAGCTGATCGTTTTGTGTTAATTTTGTTTAGTTCTTTTTTCGTAACAGATTTAATGTTTAGTATAGAGCTTAGAAAAAATTCGCAGTGTGAGATAGGGAAGAAGTAAGACATGTAGCAACATCAGCACGGCAAAGGGCACTTCTTTAAAGGCAAAGAAGGGTAAAAATATTTTAAGTCAAGTGATAGCGATTCCTGTATGAGTCGTACGATTTTTGAATCAAGCACGGGCAACGCCGGGCCATGCTGCTAGTACTATATATATATATATAGTAATTCGTCGAACCTAGAATAATCTTCAACAGAATGCAGAAAGCGCTGGGACGTTTCGATACAAAGCAAACGTCATACCAACTGTACCACGGGCCTTGGTGACGAAGAAGACACAAACTAGACTCGATATAGCGCCGTTACTCGCTCAGTTTCTCAGCGATACTCATCCAAGTATTCAGATAACCTCGGAACAGTGCCCCAAGAGCCATGACTGCTTTTTTTTACCTTTAGACGCTCCATCGCTGAGCATTAGCTGGGTCTAGGAAGGATATACAAATGATTATTTGGGGGATTTAGGCTAATCATATAGTAATTCGTCGAGCCTAGAAGAATCCTCAACAGAAAGCACTGGACGGCCGTTTCGTCCTATCTGGGACTCATCAGCAGTGCATCCGCAACCGAGGATCGAACCCGGACGAAATATATATATATATATATATATATATATATATATATATATATATATATATATATATATATATATATAGTTTTAAGGCATGCTATATTCAATATCAGGAACAGAGCGTATGTAAATATATAATACATACATACACTGAGGTCAACACCGAGAGCCGACTGTCTGTTTTATCCTTGAAAGCAGTTTACATGCTATCTATCTATCTATCTATCTATCTATCTATCTATCTATCTATCTATCAGGACTTTACTAGCAATAATTGTATTTTGAAGACAAGTAATCCACCTAAAAGCCCTTAACGTCATTAAAATCCTACTTAATAGATCCTGAGCAGAAAAGCACCATTTAAAAAAATAAAAGTTTCTTTCATTGATGGTCCAAAATTGTTTGTCTTATTTACTTAATCTTTATAGTTGGTTTCTTTCTTAAGTAAAATATATTTCTCCGTGGTGTGTATGTGTGTGTGTGTGTGTGCAGTGGGGGGGGTTACTTTCTCTCTGCCATCGAATGGGCTCAAGATGCAAATCAAAACATAAACATTGATTTGTAGAGGGCCGTGGCGGTTACGGTTTGTTGAGGGGTCACGGCGTGGCTGTTATGTTGTTGGTAGAAGTCAGACGTAGAAGAAACGCAAGGTTCAGATACTCCTGCCCGCCGAGCCCAACTACATAAAAAGGTTGGACTTTGATTAAGTCCAAAGAAGAAGGTAAAGAAAGCAAACAAAACAAGACCGATAATATATGTATACAAATATATATTAATAACAAGTTACAATACATGGAAACAGTACAAATGACGAAGTGTGTGTGAATATTCTGTATGTGCGTGCGTGTGTATTGTGCTTTAGCGTGTTTCCACGCTATTCCTTGTTAGCGACTACTATTCGAGGTTGATAGTTGAAATCCTCCAGGAATAAGAGAAATTTGCCTCGAGGTGTTGGTGCACAGGCCTGAAAGGAAAAAAGAGATAGAGGCAAAGGGTCATTGGCTATTTATAGCCAGGAAAGAGAGACCCCTGGTGAAAGGGTTAACGGAGTGAAAGGAGGAGTTAACTCAGACAGATTTTATAAAAATTCCACTTCAATAAAACCACTTCGTGAAAAAATGTGTTTTTTTCTGAGAGAAAGCTTTGCGTTTTTTTTTTTATTTCTGTCAAAACAGAAGTTTCAGAAATTTTTTTTAACATTTTAATTACGTTTTTTTAAATAGGGCATCGCTTTCCCAATGTAATCTTTTAAGACACGACTAGTATATGTTTGGTTCTCTAAATGTTCGCGTATTTCACAAATTTTTTTTTTATCTATCTACCGCGCATAAAGAGTTTTTAATGTATTATTAAACATTCTGCTCAGAATCACAAACGAAATTGTTGACTTTAACAGAACCTCAGAATAAGCGTCTTGGAATGCTGGAGTCTACAGCGGTTGAAAAAGTTCATGAGTTTTTAATTCTATGGCACGTAAGTATTCAAGACAAAATAATATCTATAACTGAGACATTTCTGTAATATCATCGAAAAATGTTCTTAATTTTGTGTTAAGTAAACGAATGTTATGCATTTAATTAGTATAGGGGGTTAGGTTTTTCTTTCTACATTTACGTATTTATATTTATCGAAATAAGTCAATAATTGTTATAGTCATAATAATAATAATAATTATATATATATATGTCGATCCAGGTAAAATGAGAACAAATGAAGCATAATTCCATTGTCTGTAAGATTTAATTTAAAAGTGAGCTCAATACACGGTAGACCTAAATATTATTTATTTTAGGATATTAAAATAAAAACATGTTAAAATCGCTACACAATTGCAGTTATGTTTGAACACGTATGTAAATTTGTAAAGCTGCACGAACACACTGGCAAGCCTTACCAGTGAGCAAATCAAAGTATTTTAGATTGGCTCGGAAACTCTCCTGATTTAAATCCAATCGAGAATCTGTGGTCAATCTGCAAGGAAGGACTTCGTGGAAGAGACATACGAAGTACTAACATGTGCACTAGTTCATGTTTCATTGGAAAAATACGGAAAAAGGTAAATAATAACGAAATGGTTCGTTTTGTTACAATTAATTTGCACAAGGGTGTATATTCTTACATATACACCTATATTAATTTGCACAAGGGTGTATATTCTTACATATACACCTATATTAATTTGCACAAGGGTGTATATTCTTACATATATACCTATATTAATTTGCACAAGGATGTATATTCTTACATATACACCTATATTAATTTGCACATGGGTGTATATTATTACATATACACCTATATTAATTTGCACAAGGGTGTATATTCTTACATATACACCTATATTAATTTGCACAAGGGTGTATATTCTTACATATACACCTATATTAATTTGCACAAATTTGTATATTCTTACATATACACCTATATTAATTTGCTCAAGTGTATATTCTTACATATATACCTATATTAATTTGCACAAGGATGTATATTCTTACATATACACCTATATTAATTTGCACATGGGTGTATATTATTACATATACACCTATATTAATTTGCACAAGGGTGTATATTCTTACATATACACCTATATTAATTTGCACAAGGGTGTATATTCTTACATATACACCTATATTAATTTGAACATTCCTTATTACTGTGAACGTTAATTTTAATGGTTACACGCGTTTAAGTTAGTATACCTGTTTGTTTAAGCCGTGTAATTAATGTCAACCGGGATAGAAAGAAAGAACTTGCTTATATATACTTATATGTTTCACTGTTTTACCTTCAGAAAACCTTCAAGAGTCATCAAGATGAAGACACTGGACTAATGGATGTAAAGAAACTAAGGAAGCTGTACAAAGAACTTGGTAAGCGAACGTTTTCCTCAGAAGCATTTCTTTTGAATGTCTTCAGGTACAAAATGAAGGAATGATAACTGACGATTATTAGATTGAAGGGATTCTCATGGCCGATTTCGACGAAAAAATTTTTTTGAAGAATTATTAAACATGAGGCTTAAATGCGACGACCTTCAACTAGTTCATAGTATTGTGGAGGCCAATCATTTTGGCCTCTTTCGATGCCCTAAACACACTTCTTACTAATAAAAAATAAAGATAAAAATAAATACAAGTAAACAATTAATAATAATGATTGACAATGCCTGATCTCATAAAAAATGAAGATGAAAGTAAATACTAGTCAAAAATTAATAATAATTTCTGACAATGCTTCATCTAATAAAAATGAAGATGAAAATAAATACTAGTCAAAAATTAATAATAATGCTTGACAATTCTTCATCTAATAAAAATGAAGATAAATGTAAATACTAGTCAAAAATTAATAATAATGGCTGACAATGCATCATCTAATAAAAATGAAGATGAATGTAAATCTTAGCCAAAAATTACTAATGATGGTTAGCAAACTAAAAATGAATTTAGATAACAGTAAAAAAAAAATATGATAATAATTGTCTGACATTTACTTTTGATATCAAACGCAAGAGAATTAATATTTTCGAACCGATCAAAAAATCTCTGAAAAACTGACGTTAAAAAAAATTACTTATGTTTTCAAAATTTTCTTCGCAGGTTTCATTGCCAACCGTAAAGTGATGGAGGTTATTTGCAAGAGATACGCCAATTCGGATGGCAAGCTCAGCTTTGACGACTTTGTGCAGAGCACTGCCCGGATGATGAGTCTATTTAGTAATACTGTATTTCCAGTTCACACCAACACCAACAGATACACGTATTTCTACGCGCTCATTTCGTTTTCTGATATATATATATATATATATATATATATATATATATATATATATATATATATATATATATTATATTTGTTACCAGTTGATGGAAGGGATAATTCCGAGGAGGATATAAATCTAGGGAGAGCTCAATGTACACTAAAGAGCATTATAATGATAATAAAAGACGGGACTTTAATTATCCATTTCAATTATAATTTATTTCATGAACACCAAGGTGTTCAACTCTTCAGACCGAAATAAAGAGTTGCGCATGAAATAAATTATAATCGAAATGGATAATATATATATATATATATATATATATATATATATATATATATATATATATATATAATAAGCACATTTAATTTTTTCTGTGTTTGGAAAATAATAAAACATTCCCATCACTCTAGTAATAAAAATCAATACATTCCGTTAAAAATAAAAATAAAATATATTCTTGATAATGGCTAATAGAATAGCCAAAAGCTCTTGTATATATAGAATATTTGTACACTTTTACACAATTTACATACAAAAGGAAAATACTTATACGAAAACAAGAAAAATGAAATAAAGATCTTAAATCTTAATCGCAGTACCTTGTTTAATGAAACTTGTATAAAATAGAGATTGTTTATATATAATATCGCTCATAACTGTTTACACACGACAACTATTTTTTTAATAAAAAGTGACTTTTCTTATGAACCAAATATCTTAGGATTTTATTATTTCCAGTGAAATATTACACAATAGAAATGGATATTAATCGTTTTTATTTATTGAGCAACTAAAGATCAGTCCACTGCATTAATATTTCTGTAGCCTGATACGTCGTTATTAGCTTAATTTTGATCTGAAATTTCCAATGTATAATGTTCAACGATGTATAATCAGCAAGGAAGTGCACTATCACGGAAAAAGAATATATTTAAAACAAAATATCTTTGTGTAACTAAATGCATTTTTCATCCTTAGGCTATGGATTCATTGATGCAAACACACACAAATCTCTCTCTCTCTCTCTCTCTCTCTCTCTCTCTCTATATATATATATATATATATATATATATATATATATATATATATTCAAAAAATAATTTTTGAATAAATAATATTTGCTCTACTTTATATTGAGAATAGTATTTTTGGTTATTGGAAATTATTCCGTCTACACAATCTTATACTTGCGTATATACATATATATATATATATATATATATATATATATATATATATATATATATATATATATATATTTGAATAAAAAATAGACCACTTTTTAAGGTTTCATGTAATAAATTATTTCATACAACACTTTTAAGGGCTCTGGATCCTCAGACTTTACTTGCAAAGGTTGAAATGAAAAATGAATAGAAATTTACACATTTTTGACGGGCCGTATTAAGCATATGTAAATTAGAAATTTGGATAAAACATTAGTAACAGAAAATTAGGTCCTTCTCTTATAATATTCTATATATCCATACACATACACACTCTACAGATATCCGAACACCTATCTATATCCACATACATATCCCTATATATATATATATATATATATATATATATATATATATATATATATATATATATATATAGGGATATGTATTTCTTAATATATATATATATATATAATTATTATTTATAAAAAAATTATAACATAAGTATGTTATAAAATCACTACAAAAATAGCCATTTTGTTTCAACACACTCAGTGTCTTATCAAGTGATGATTTTGAAGATAAAATAAATGGTTTTAAAAGTTTCAGATTAATTAACGATCCTACACTAGGGGAAACATTGTTACAAAAGCTAGAATAACCAATCAAAAACCAAGTATAGAAAGATTCAAAAGCTTGACAACGAAATCATGTTATAATAGCTATTCAGATCTTTAAAATACGTGTAATATTAAAAATAATTTATACTAACCAATAATTATAAAATTATATGACAAAATTTAATATTAAAATTAAAAACTGGCAATTTTAAAATCCAAATTTAATCACTATTAAGTTTAAAAACTAAAAATTATTGAGAAAAGAAAAAATATAAATGTTTATTCAATTCATTTCTTCGTTGAAATTACGTTCGACAAGACGCTATAATATATCCGGTCATTTGACGATACATGTATATATATTTTTTTTCATATATATATATTCCCACACACTTATTCACAATTTAAAAAATGATTACAAGAACCTCCAATTAGACAACAAGATCAAAGACATTTTCGATAAACCACCCATAAATGCAATGAAACAATCACCTAACCTATCAGCTATCCTCACCTCTACCAAATATCTAAACAATAGAAACCAGACAGGAAATTACAAATGTAACAAACCTCGTTGCTTAGTTTGCAAACATTTAATAATAGCTAATACATTTTCCGTACCCAACACCAATATCAGGATACAGCCACCTAAACTCACCTGCGATAGCCATAACGTAATCTATTATTTATTCTGCAACTTATGTCCTAATAGTGGATATATTGGTGAGTCTGGAAACAATTTTAGATTTCGTTTCAATAACCATAAACAAACAATACGTCAAAACAACCCTTATTCCCCCATAGCTAAACACTACAATCAATCAGGACACACATTAGAAAACTGCAAATGTTTATTAATAGATTCCGATTTTACTTCCACATTCACACGCAGAAAAAAAGAAACATATTGGATTTTAAAATTAAATACACATAAACTAGGGTTGAATAGGGACTTAGGTGTCTTTATAAATATTTCAATAGTTAAGCAATTTTTTTTAGATATAGTAAAAAAAAAAAAAATTTAATATTTATGACAGTTAGATTTAAGTTAGGAATATCCGAACAGTGACGTTCCATGTCACGTGACGTCCGCGTCTCGCGAAGGACGCTACTTGCTAACAAACAGTAATTTTAATTTATTTGTAACAAACAGTTATTTCTGATGAAAAATTGAGGACAATTTGAAATATCAAATATATATATAAATAAATAAATACTTTCAGAAAATAAAACATTATAATTTTTAATTTGAAACTTTTTCTATATATACATATTAAGAAAGTATACGTGGCTTCTCAATATGCTATATATATATATATATATATATATATATATATATATATATATGAACGTTCCTATCTAAATAAGAAATATCTGTAAAAAAGACTATAATAATGAAAAAAAAACAAAAAAAACGGACACTATTCTTGTCCACAAAAATAATAAAGAAGTAGGTATATATAAAATAAATTTTCACAATTGTTCCTTACAATATACTGAAGAAACTTACAGAAATTGCAAACAAAACCTACGTCTGAACATAAAAAGGATCTTTATAGATAACAATTTATTAAATGCATTAGTTAATTACAGAAATACGTCCAACCACAACTTTGATCTAAAGAATGTCACACTTATTAAAAGAGGAAGTAACTTAAAAAAAAGTGCCGCTCTTGAGTTTTGCCAAAGTGTTAACCTGCAGTTTTTTTTAAATAAATCCTTTCCTAAAATAAATACTCCTTTCTTGAACCAACATTCATGGACATTAGAAAATTTAAAAATTAAAAACAATTGTTCAATGCAAACATTATTTATAATAAATTCATAAATAATTTATCAAAACAAAATTAAATAATAAATAATTGCAACATTATTATAAAATATCTATCTATCTATCTATCTATCTATCTATCTATCTATCTATCTATCTATCTATCTATCTATCTATCTATCTATCTCATCCGTTCATATCTATCTATCTATCTATCTATCTATCTATCTATCTCATCCGTTCATATCTATCTATCTATCTATCTATCTATCTATCTATCTATCTATCTCATCCGTTCATATCTATCTATCTATCTATCTATCTATCTATCTATCTATCTATCTATCGCTATATATATATGTATAAACAAATAAGAATATAAATTCAACAATAACAGCTTGTACGCAGTTTCGTTTATTAGACATTGAATTGCATCACTTAAATTAAATTACATCTCCATAGCTTACCTTGATTTTCACAGCGTGAATATTTTTTGAGCGTTCGTAAAATTCAAAACATTGAAAGCCTAACGGTATTTTTCGTTATTTTTTTCTTTTTTTTTTTACTTCTGTTTATAAATACGTGTTGCAAAAATTCCTTACATTTGCCTTGATCAGAAGACGAAATGTGTTGGTAAAAATGTTTGCATTTGGCTTTTATTCACACACACACACACACACACACACACACACACACATATATATATATATATATACACATATATATATATATATATATATATATATATATATATATATATATATATATATATATATATATATATATCAAGATTACTAAAAAGTTCCGAAAATCAGTATTTAAATGAAGCGACAAAATTTCGGCCGAGTGGAAGTAGAGACATGAACCGACTAATGTGATGAACAGTCAAGTGACTATGTGGTATAACATATGCATGCGTTTATATATTGCGTATATTTCCGCGTATAAGACGACCTTAAAATGACAAAAGTCAACCTTAAAAATTGGGGGTCGTCTTATACAGCAATTCTAAAAAAAAAAAGAAACCTTAAATTATGGCTGATTTTTGTTGGTAGGCTATAGTGCGATAACTAATAACGTACATGAAAAGATTCACATTATCAAATAAACTGATCATAAAAGTAATAAACCGTTTCTACCTTAAATATTACTGGCATAACTTCATAATAAATTGGTTATTTAAAGAATCATTCCATTATCAAGTGATGCTTCGAACATTCTTAGCATCGCTTGATAATGGAACGGAGAAAAGAAAATTCTTAGCATCGCTTGATAATGGAACGGAGAAAAGAAAATTCTTAGCATCGCTTGATAATGGAACGGAACTTTGTATTTTAAGTTTAATTTTTATGATGAAATTTGTATTCAGTTTTGAAACATGAGAATTTAGCTATTTCGATTTAAAAAAACAATTATAATATATATATATATATATATATATATATATATATATATATATATATATATATGTGTGTGTGTGTGTGTGTGTGTGTGTGTGTGTGCAAATATGTAAAAAAATAGGAAAGAACACGTTAGGTAAATAATCTTTTAGTATTTTTTTTTTATTTTTAAAAAACAGTGCTCTTTCGGCTCTTGTTTTTGAAACATCAGAACTCTTATGTAGCGAAGGAAACATATTTTTTTTTTTTAAATGATTATATATATATATATATATATATATATATATATATATATATATATATATATATAATACAACTATCTGGAGTAGTATCCTGGTTTAAAACGGCAGCAGTTTATAGTACCTTATAATACGTTATCTTCTTCGACCCACGGTCGCTATGATCTTAATCATTTGCGGAAAAAACGTATCCGACAAATCTGCTAGATCTCTTGAACAAGATGAAATCGACTTTACTAGTCGGATTACAGTAGTATAAGAAATTATTTCTGCCAAGGAATAAATCAAATCTGTTATAAATAATAACAGGTTGGTTTTAATTTGATGTCAGCAATATACACGACTGTTGGTGATTCGTATGTAAATATTGACTACAACAGGGGTGGGTAAACTTTTCAGTGCAAGGGCCACATTCAAAAATTCACAGTTTTATTGGGCCGCATATTATATTGACCCAAAATAATTAATATTTAAAATAGACAAAAAAAAAAAAGGCTTTTAAAGAAAAAAATGTAATTAATTTGTATTAATTAATATTTTAAAGTACCGTAGAAGATTCACATGAAACGCATTTATTTGAAAGACAAAGTCACTCAGT